AAATAACCAAGTTACCAGCAAACTATAAACTAGCTGACCTGTTCAAGTACTTACTATCCTTAGTCTATGAGCTATCCTAACAAAGGTCGTTCTATCTAAAAATGCGTTTGAGGACAATATTTGATTAATATGTTTGATTTGGAAGCTAGGAACAATCAATGAGTCAATGAATAATTTATTTGTATGAACATAGGTAGGTACATATGGATATTGCTACTTTACATTTACGATGACTCTTGTATGGGGCTGCTACCTAAAATACAGACTTGACCTAGGCAGGTACTTTGTCTTGATTTGTAGCTTATTTAATATAAAATGCTTTGTACAAAAAAGAAATCAAGAAGGTGTTAACCCTTCTTTGCATACTGGTGGAAATTTCCATCATAACATTGAATGCCCAAAAATTATATAAAAGAACAATTTCACTTCAGGTTGATCCTGTCTGGATACCTTTTTAATGTCCATTGCAGCAAAAAAGCCATAGCTGGTAAATTTATTTTTTTAACCATTTTTCACATCAATTTTGAAAATGAATTATATCACCTTGATTTATTTCGCCAATAAAAAAAATCATGCAAAGAAGAAATAGGTAAATAATAGGTATGTAATTACTTGTATTATTATACTTTGTATAACAAAATACATTCCGGATTTGTACCTATTTGAATTTAGCAATTTGTAAATAAATTAAACGTGCTACGAATACAATAACCACAATATTTATCTATATAAATTATATTATATACCTAAACATGTACCTAATATTGTAATAACATGTGGCCAGTAAATATTTGTTTTGTTTACATATCTACTAGCTGTTCCCGCGGTTTTGCCCGTGAATCAGTGTATAAAATATCCTATGTATAAAGTGAGGGTATAAGCTTTCTACGTTCTGAATTTAAATGAAATCCGTTCAGCAAATATACTACGAAGTTGGCAAACAAGTATGTATAAAGCATGTCTAACAGTCACTGTAGTCTATGTACGCCTGCAAAATTAGGGGTATCACTTGTGTGTGGCTGACCCTGAAGAAACCTTAATACGCCCTTTTTAAAGCACCTTATATTATAGTTTTTAGGAAAACCCTCGACAGGGAGCCGATTTCACAGCCTGAGCGTTCGTGAGAGAAAACTCCTCTGAATCTACACTGTATGCGACCATATAGGTTCAAGCGTGTGACGATTAAATCATGTGTTGTTTAGGATCATTTTATGGAGGATTTTGGTCCCTTAAATGAAGCCCATTTATACTCTTTGACATGTCTCTGTCCTTAAAAGTTTCGCTTTTTATTCATCAGACAGTTCTGAGATGGGTATAGCCCATTATCTTCATAAACTCACTGTACATTTCACTTTCACATTTATGTATAATATTAGCAAGGTATATTTAACTTTAACTGTCTGCACTGCTGAACAAAAGCCTCCCGTTTGGGTAGTTCTTTTTGTTTGGGTGTTTTAGTTGCCATGTTTGGCAGGCGGATTGGCAACCGCAGTTAGGATTTAGAGATGTTTTAAGGGGGACGTTGCCGATTCCTCGCCCTGCCTTAGTCGTTTCTTACGACACTCACGGGTAAGGAAGGGTAACCCATTCTACGCATAAAATTATAGCGTCACAGTGTACTCTATGTTATCCACTGCAATGTTCATGTCTATAGGTTACCACTTTCCATCAGGTTGGCCGTCAGCTTGTATACCATTCTCAGATGCACAAAAAATTGTATTATTATAAAAAAAAATCTAATTGTTTTATTCGTACTATAATGTTCGTACTATAATATACAACGCGGTTTCAGAGATGTCTTCCCACGAACACTCAGGTTATGGAATGAGCTCCCTGCCGAGGTTCTCCCAAGGGACTACAGCATGGGGTTCTTTAAAAGGGGGGTAAAGAGGTTTCTTCAGAGTCGGCAACGCGCGCGTAATACCTCTGATATTGCAGGCGTTCATAGGCTACGGTAACCGCTTACCATCAGGTGGGTGGTATGCTTGTTTGCCACCTCAGTGGTATAAAAAAAAATGTGGAAATGAATAAATATCTAACAAACATTTATCATTGTAACTTACATGCGAAAAAATACGGCAGTGTCATGTGTGAACATGTAGGTGGCAATTATGACAATTAAAAAACTCACCACTCACTAATAATCATTGGGGAGCGAATGTTTAATTATACGAATTGTCACTTTGACTATTTGCCTTTGCTTTCCATGTGGATTTAAAAAATGCATCGATTAAAATTGTTTTTTAATTAAAGTGCCGTTTCGCGGCAAAATTTTTTTGTCCTAATATAATGTGGACTTTGGCCCCTTTACCGTATTTTAGTTTAAGAAATTTTATATTTATTTATTATTAGTATTTTTATATATTTTTTTTTATAATAAATGTTATTATTATTGATTACATTTTTTATAAGATAGAAACCTGAATTTATATTTGAAATAAATAAAAACAACCCATAAATTTACACAGAAAATAAGATAGGAATGTTTATTTAAAAATTCAATTTAATGGAATGCAAATATTTTAAATTTAGAATGCCAGGTGCTATCAAGGTTGTCAACGACGGCCAAACTAATTTAGATCTACGTCCTTATGTATTTACTTTCGGGCTTGTTTTTGTATATACATTTTATTAAAATTTTCTTAAATTAAAAATCCATATATTTTTAATATTAAATATCTATTATAATTTATTATTTGGATTATATAAGTACTCTAAATTCACATAAAATAACAAATAAATAAATAATTTTTAATAATAATCAGTGTTACAAAATAGTTCTTTATTACACAAAATACATATGGTATTTATAAAAAATCAAAAGTTAGGTTATTCTATATTTGTATATATACATAATTATATATATGTATTAGATTGAAATCTAATATTGTAGAATGTTTCTCAATTCTCTATATTTCTTTAGTAGTAAACAGGTTTTTATATTGATAAATTAAACAAATAAAGTAATGATGTATGAATGTCCTACATCATCATAAGTAATGTTAAACAACTACTCAATAAAACACATGAATAAACAAACCCGCAGTTAAAAATTGAAACAAAATAAACGATTGAAATTATAATGCACATAAGAATTGACTACAGACGCTAGCTATTGGCTAGTTTGAACGTGGAAAAACACGTGAATTTTTTTTCTAAGCCACGTAGAATGTACGTCTGTACGCATGCCGCGCTCTGATTGGCCGACTGTGAGCACGCCTTTGCCTATTGGACAATTTTTTTTCCCGCTTTTCACGTATACGGGCAGTCGTTTTTTTTCCGTAGAAAACCCGAGCCAATGGTTGGTCGTAGTTTATTAATTATAAAAGTTGTTCTAGTAGTCGGATTTTTGCCGGGATGTAGCGGATTTATTTTTGAGCGGGAACGCCGTTTTATGATGGTCGCCGAGTTTAAATTTGGAATGTCTGCTAACATCCGTTGCGGGTGCGTTCCTATTTACGATATATACGTTGGATTATTATAACGTTTACTTAATAAATGTTTTTAGTTAATTTACATATTACTGTTTGTAATTTTCTTAACAGTTAGTATTTGTTTGTTATTAGATATTTCTAGACACGTCTAAGAGTAGATAGTTTGAATGTCAAAAAATATATAAATAATTCAATAATATTTTATTTGTACAATTGAATAAGATTTTTCATTGATAAATTACAATACCATACGCTTTACAATAATAACAGAAGTAGTCTAAATTAGTCTTACATACTATAATTTTAAGGAATATTCGCCACTTATTTAAATTTCTGTGATAATTCTAAACGTTAATAAATTATTTAATGGGTTTGTCACAGCCCTCAAAAGTGAATACGACATTTTTATACAATATTTTATTTGTTTCAATATCCTTGATTGTGACAGTATTTTAATACAGTTTTATGCGTATTAATGTAGGAATAAATAAATAATTATCATTAGTTAAAAATAAACCGCAATGCGTGTTCATTTTCATATAATAAGCTCACAACAGATAAAAACACGATATAAAAGTGAATATTATGTTACATTATTTATCAATAAATTGATAAATTTCAAGTAGAGTTTGTAGAGTAAAATTAGAATCTAAGGAAGACTTGATATGCAACTGTGATTCGTTGATAAGTATGCGTATGAGTCTAGTTTTTAATGGGTGATAATGGTATGGTAACCCCGTCTGCGCTATCGAAATACACTGGCGCGGCACCAGTGAGGGATGATAGGTGACGATGAAAGCAGGTTAGTTAGCCCATCGTGACGAATTCCACTAGAATTGACCGCGATGATTTCTAGGGGGGACCGCGTGGAGGTCGACATGTTAAGGTGTATTGCTAGCAATGGGTCAGTTTATAGGGTACCTACAGTCTATCAGAAGCTAGAACAATACAGGTCCTCTAGACAAGTGGTAAGCGAATTTATCGATGGAATCATTATCGCCAACGAGACCAACAGATAGAATGAGATAGCGAGATCTGTTGTCTCACTTCAACTTATGAACTCGCTTGTGGCAACAATTCCGTAGATGGATTCATTTGCCACTTGTCTATGGAGTCAAATACAATTTTTCCAAAGCCTGACAGATCAAAAACAGGACAGAAAACCGTTTTCAAAATATTAACAACATGAATGTTGTTAATATTTTTGCGCTGAACTATTTTTGAAGCAAAGTTGAATATTAAAAACGCTACCTGGTTTTAAATCTCTATCCAATTTAAGTATCTTTAGATATTTTAATATATTAATGCGTATAAATGATTTACAGGACAGCTTTATCTATAAAACAGGTTCTTAACATTCACAAAAAGAGCATAGCTATGTAATGTATAAAATATTTAAGATAAAGTAAGGTAGTGGAGGGAGACTTATCAAGACTTAGACTTGACAAAAGAGAAGATTTTTGTGTTTGAGTTGAAATTTGTATCATAGTGTTTTGACCTCATATTCGAAGATACCATAAATAATGTGTTTTTTTTTATTCTATTCTATTCTATTCTACTACCAACCTGTGTGTAATCTGGTGTGTTGTTGCACATGACTCAACTGCTTGAACCTCCGATCGCAGTAGGAGCATTTGTACGGCTTCTCCCCAGTGTGCACCCTGATGTGCTGGACTAACTGGTGGTTGGAGCTGAAGGACTTGAGGCACTGCTGGCACTGGTGAGGCTTCACCTCCCCGCCTAGACCACGCTGGAGTTCCCGCGCGTGCATCTGCATTGCGTTCTTGTGCATGAAGATCTGTAACAATGATGTTGTGGAGTTATAGTTTGGTTTGGACATCGATGGTTGGGTTTTTGAGTAATTATGACCCTACCCGCCTTCACACGGGTAGATAGATGAATGATCTCTAATAAAAATACAGCTTTATATTACTTCCTGGTAATATGGGGTTTTGTGTGTGAAAGATTTTTTTTAAGTTTATTCATTACAAACAATCAAATCTTTCCTCTTTATAATATGAGTTTAGACTTAAAAAAAGGTTAAACTATTTTTTAAATCTGTAACAATGGTATTCTGTGGTTACGATTTTTATCTGTAATAATTCTTATTCTGTGGTCGCATTAGGTTTGAGCTCAAGGGATTCGATTTATAAATAACTTTAAAAAAGGAAGAGATATTTTACGTAAGTAGATGTCAAGCGTAATGAGTTCACAGATTATTTTTTTTTTTCAATTTAAAGTATTAGATACATACAGTTATCTTAGATACATATCACTTAAAATTAAAGTAAGTTGATAATCTTCGAGTATTGATATTCACGTATATACTAATGCTAGTGGAATTAAACAAAATAATTATATTTAAATAACTAGTGATATTGACTTCCGCAAAATAGCACATTGTTTAGAAAAATAAAACATAATTCATATCATTTGGTTAAAAACAAACACTCAGACTAACCCTAGACCAGCAAGGAAGTAATAACACAAAATGTATGTGTATTCGTCCGTACGGTGTTAAGTTTCACGCGGGGCGTCCTATAATTTTGCCGCGGCAAAGAAATTGCCTTCCCGTAAGTCAGATAAGCAAAATTATAGGGACTTAAAATTATTTATCACGGTGCTTATACCATTTTCATATAGTTGAAGCTTTTTCATGTGCTATTATAGTTTTGTTTTGTATTATATTTACAATATGAATAAAATAATAATAATAGATATAGTTTTAAAAATCTAACAAAAACTATTCACAAATAGACTAAATTAATAAACTTACAACAATTCGTCATAGTCGTAGAATACTGCCGGATCTGACGAATATTACATATAAAGATCCGTCAGTATTCTACGACTATGACGAATTATATACTTTCCACACGTGCATGTTAATTAGGAAAATGTTACCAAGTCTGGTAATATACATTCTCAAATTAAATTAAAATAAACAAAATCATAAATATTGTACTAAAAATACAACTAACATTGAATTACCTAACATTAGAACTATGTATAGGGAAAAAATCTGTTCAGTTTGACGGAGTATAACTGTATCATAGATTACCTAAACATTTGGCTTTTAGTGATAAAACATCACCAGAGGGACGCCGCTGCCTATTCTTCAACCATTAAGTTTCCTTAATTGCCTCTTACGACACTCATGGGAAAGGAATGGATGACCTATTCTATTCCAGGACCACACGGAATTCCTATATTTATTCTTTATGTATAAACTAAACTATAAAAAATATTACATAGTTGATGTACCTCGCCATTTTGTTTTGTTTTTATTTTTATTTTGAGTAATTTGCATTGTTGGTTGTCATCGGGTGAATGTAAATTATTGTTTTTATTAATTCGATGCCATTTAATTGTTCAATAATTTAATTCTATTTTAATATTTTTTAAACACGAAGCATGTTGTGGTTGCCTTTAAATGTAAGAACAGTAAGCCATAATCCACTAGCGTAATGTATCAATGTTTCGCTGTATCTTATATTGGTAATCGTAAATAAATAAATATAAAAATTGGAGGCAAATATTTATTTATAAATTATAAATATTAGTAAGCTACACTAAATAATAAAGGGATTGTCCGTTAGAAAGTGATAAATAACAAAATTTGCACTTTCTACCATAAAAACAGAATAGTCGAAGCCAATCAATCACCTCGGCCGCTGACACACCTGTCACTTCTACTCCGTCTACCGCAGAAGACTAATACTTTCGACCTGCAAACTCCTAATTTAAATGGCTTTGTTTGTTTGAGGCCTTATTTTTACATTAAAAAAAAAACTAGTATATAGGTTTTTATATGGTTTCTCATAATAATTAAATTCCTTTATATAATAGGAATCTTTATACGTATCTAACAAGTTTTTTAAACCGTTTCTTCGTACTCGTAGGTTTAAGAAGAAAACCAAAAATAGACCACTTCTACCATAGAGATATACCATATTTTAAGTTTTTTTTTTATACTACTGAAGTGGCAAACAAGCATACGGCCCACCTGATGGTAAGTGGTTACCGTAGCCTATGAACACCTGCAATACCTGAGGTATTACGCGTGCGTTGCCGACCCTGAAGAAACCTCTTTACCCCCCTTTTGAAGAACCCCATGCTGTAGTCTCTTGGGAAAAACCTTGGCAGGGAGCTCATTCTACAACCTGAGTGTTCATGGGAGGAAACATCTCTGAAACCGCGCAGTATGCGACCATTGAGGCTGTAGGACATGAGGATGAACTCCCTGTCGATGGCGAGCCGTACGATGGTAGAAAGTGGCTGTAGGCATCATATTGAACAATTCCTCTGAGCACAATCTATTGTAAAGGCGATAGAACACGCAGAGTGAGGCAAAATCTCTCCTAAAACTTAAGGGTTCGATACCGCTTGTGAGCCTGGGATCATCGACAATTCTCATAACTCGTTCAGAAATACAACTGTGAAACATTCAATTTGCTGACAAAAGACAAACAATTTCGTACTGTTCATGTCTATTGGCGATGGTTACAGTTTTCCATCGGGTGGGCTATGCATACATTTATTTATTTACATAATATGCATACACTTTTTTTCTTTTTTTTTTACAAACTTATTCTATTTTTGAATATAAAGAAAAATATCATCATCGTAACTCGGCTAGTTGTAGGAAAGTAGTTTTATCAATAGTTGGTAGTCGTGTATAGCGTAATCTCTGTTCAATCTGTACACTCTATACAGTACAGTATATTTATTGAAAACCCTTAGTTTGTGCGATTGCAAAGAAACGACTTTGGACACGCGAGCGTCGAGTGGCGGCCCAAATGTTTGGTCTCGAACTTTTTTTTTTAATTTTCTTTTAATTTTTTTCTGTTTTAATTTATTCTTTATTAAAAAATTATAGATAATGCAAGATATTTTTTAATTTAATTAGGAAATAACGCAGTCATGTATTGCTTCTCAAAAAACTATGTCAATCATAAATATAGTTTAAGTCAATTGTTACTACCAAAAATGGATCCTAGTTATCTGTAATAAAAAATATTATTGTTGTTATAAACGCACTGATGAATGAGATATTTCTTAAATACCCTACAAAGGCTTGTTATATATATATATATATATATATATATATATATATATATATTTGTATACAGTAATTTTTTTTGGAAAAAATCTTAAGTATCCAAGTACAACAATGTCTCAGTTATAATTTATCGATACCTTAATTCACACCTGTTTTTATTATACATTTTTCCATTTCCACTTTTCTGAATATTTATTTAGAAAATTAATAAAATGCTGAAATATTTAGTGAGCCTAAACAAAACCATTTTAAGCTCCCGTAACATCGATAATTGTATAATTAGTTCATTAATTTGACAACAAAGATTTATTAAATGATAATTTATAAAAGAATTACTAACTTTTTGAAAGCTATACTAGCTTTCAAAAAGTTAGTAAAGACGTAAACTATCCCATTTTTTCCGTTTAAAATGTATAATTTCCTTACAAAATTTAGAATTCATAATAATGTCTACTAAAATTGATGTGTGTAGATTTAAATAATTCATAGAACAGGATCTTTATGATATTATTTTTATGGCACTATTGGAATTAGCTTTTTTTTATGCAACTTAGAATGGCAAACAAGCTGACGGCCCACCTGATGGAAAGTGGTAACCGTCGCCTATACACATGAGCAGTACCATGGACATAACAGAGTATACTATTTCGCCCATGATACCCCCCCATGCGTTGCCATTCCTGAGGACTCGGGTGTTATTCCTCTGTACCCTGTAAAATCCCTGTCATATCCTATATGCCATAGCTTCTCTGCTTATTTTAATTTGTATAACTGTATTAAATAAACTAAAGATAACTTAATAAATATCTAAATACTATCTAATATTAACATAACAAATGCTAAAAGTCCAAAAATACTATAAACTTTACTAATATTTTGTATGTCAACTAAGTTTATTTGTTACTTCTTTTGTGAAAATTTTGTATTATGGTCACACGGACAACGTCACGGGTGAAGACTAGTATAGTAATAATATACTACAAATATTTGAAAAAACAAAGAAAAAAAAAACTATAAAAACAAGAATAAATAGACTTTTCCTTTTGTAATATAATTGCTAATATCTTGTGTAATAATAAATTAATTATTGATTTAAAATTACCTCCACTAATAAATCTGAAGGCCGGTATTCCCACATTTTAAAAGAAAAAAAAAATGAAACAAAAATACTAAATATTAAGACACAATACGTGTAGTACGAAGAGACACAATATAATACACTGGGATATATATGTTTTGTATTATTGTAGTTATTTTTAGAGAAGGAAAAATTCTGTTAAAAGCGAAAAATATGTTCAGATCGAAAAATAAATTAATTTTAATTACAACATGTCGATTTAAAGACATGTTTCCTTGTTTATAAATGAGACACGAGAATATTATTTAAATTGCACTAAAAATATTACATCTGTATAATATTCTATATTCTATATTGATAAGTCAGGTATTGGTGCCTATACCTAATATTGTTGTACTAATGTATTTATATACGTCACCTCAAATAAATAATGTGTGTTTTAATAAAATATTCTGACATCCGTTCGCGAAACATCATTATTTTTTTTACCTAAATAGTAATATTTTTTTTCTGATTTGTTGGAAATTTAATTATGTTTTTCTATATTATTTTGCACTCGATTCTCTCTGTCTGCCTGACAAGGGATTTAGCGTGAAGATATATGAAATACTAGACTATTATACAATGAATCCATATTTTTTAACATTCTACTTTATTA